AATTAATTAAATTTACATATTGCCACATTTGGATTTTAAGCCACCACTGCCAGGCTTTATCCTGGTTCTTGAGACTATTAGTCCAGTGACTACACTAATGTCTCACCTGATGATGCTGGAAGGTGTCTAACAACTCCTCAGGACTAGAGTGTCAGTGCTGGTGTGACATACACTGTTAGTGCGGTCTCTGTCAATGTGTGCTCCAGATCGGTGAGGGTGGGGGCTGGTGGTGAGGGGCAGCAGAGGCACAGAAAGCAAAAGACAAACTGAAAGGTGAGGAAGTGAGGGAGACAGAGAGAGAGAGGAGCCCACCTGCCTGTCTTTCCCGAGGAGGTGAGGCAGAGATACCAGTGAGTTGTGGACTTAACTGGTTTGAAATGCTTTGTGTTTCATTGCTGGCTTGTCAAGTCTGTGAATCGAAACAGCACGTTCTGTACCCAGACGTCACACACTGGTAAACAAAGGGAGTGTGTTGTCGTTGTAAACCTACCGCTGTCAGTTCAGGTCAGGGTTACCTACCCTGGCCCAGAGCCATTGCTGGATGGCCCATCACATGACCTCCTCTCTCTAACAGCCCCCTCGCCCAGCCCCTCTCTCTGTTAATCACCTGACATGTCCTTCCTTGGGCCCACACTCTCCAGAAAGCAAAGGAAATCTTTGCTACCCGATGTGATGAACCATCTCTTGTATGTTTATGGAATCAAATATTTACAGATAATTTAAAAAATAAACATGGACACAATTTATTGCAAACACCCGCCATTACCTCCTAGATTAGTCCTTCATTGCTGACTCCAGGCCCAACCTGAAGATGGGGAGTGGGGGTGGGTAACATCATTGCCACCAGCTAAATGGCCTAATCCTGCTCCTACTTTCTGTTTCAATGTGTCGAATGTCTCTTCAAGCAGAGAGTGCCCATGAGCCCCAGTTAGAGCGCCCTGGGCTAGATATCCCTAACCAACTGTTCGGAGATGTTATGGCACACCTCTGGAGTAGGTGGGAGGTGAACCATGGCTCAGAGATAAGGACACTACCACCGCACCTCAAGAACACTAGTGGCCAGTGTGTTTTCTATACTTGGCAGTGCTATTATGCACAACTGAACGACCTTCCCACCACCTATATCACCATGAGTTTTTTTAAACTAATAACCACCATCAGTAAAAACACCCATGAACCTAGTGACCAGTGTAAATGATACCTTGGCACCTGTAATTGTTTTCTTTGCGTTCTGTTGGGTTAATTGGATTAAACTGAGTATCCCCATGTATAATTCAGCAAGTGTCTGGACTGGATTTCAGCTCGATACTCTGACTTGTGACCCAGGCAGCTCACTGTCCTGCTGCTGGTCTCTCCAAAGAGGGTGTCCCTGTTTCCTGATTCGTCTTGGTGACTTTGTTCAAAATAAATGGCAAAACCTCGGTCTGTCACATTCTTTACTTAGACACATGACTTGCCTCCAGGACCAGCCCAGGTTCCTGCTCTGCATCTCCATGGGCATTTAGTGCTGGGTTGAGTTCAGCGACTGGTGTCAAGCTTTTGCCTGTTGTAGGTGGTGGTGGTGTTGTCATTGTGGGGAGGACGTGAGGGATCACAGCTAAAATGGACACACTAGAGATGGAGTGCTGTGAAGGTTTTGTATAAAGTTAACAGAGGAGTTTTTTAGTGTGATGTAAAGGGTTAAAATGACTATGTAACTAAGATAGTCTACACCAATGTGTAAATGAGATGTAAGATCACATAACTGCAAGGAACCGCTTCTCTCCAGCTGCCTCATGGTACAGGCTTGTCCTCAAAGGCAGGGGGGTTAGTCACTGGGTCAGTAATCCAGAAAACCAGATTAATGCTCTGAGGATATGGGTTCAAATTCCACCACGGCAAATGGTGAAATTTAAATTCAGTGACGGATCTGGAGTTAAAATAGTTTAATGGTGACCATTGCCAATTGTCTTAAGACCCCATTCTGATCACCAATGTCCTTTAGGGAAGGAAATCTGCCATCCTTCCCTTGTTTGGTCTACATGTGACTCCAGACCCACAGCAATGTGCTTAACTCTTAACTGCCCTCTGACCAATTAGCAATGGGCAATAAATGCTGGCCCAGCCAGTGATGCCCTCATTCCACGAATGAATTTTTAAAACAGCTATTACTTAACATGAAAAATAAAGAACATAAGATATAGGTGGAGAAGTAGGCCATTCAACCCATTGAGTCTGTTCTGTCATCCAATGAGATTACGCCTGATTTGATAATCCTCAACTCCACTTTCCTGCCTTTTCTCCACAACCCCCGATTCTCTTACTGATTAAAAATCTCTCTCTGTCTCAGCCTCAAATATACTTAATGACCCAGCCTCGACAGCCCTCTGTGGTGAAGAATTCCACAGTTTCACTACCCTCTGAGAGAAGAAATTCCCCCTTATCTCTGTATTAAATGTGTGACCCCTTATTCTGAGATGATGCCCTTTGGCCCTAGACTCTCCCACAAGGGGAAACATTCCTGTCAAGTCCCCTAAGAAGCTTGTATGTTTCAATAAAGCGCCTCTCATTCTTTTATATTCCACTGAGTATAGGTCCAACCTGCTCAATCTCTCCTCATAAGACAGTCCATCGATACCCGGGATCAGTCTAGTGAATGTTCTCTGGACTGCCTCCAATACCAGTACCTTTCTAAAGAGCCCAAAAATGTTCACAGCTGTGGTCTAACTAATGCCTTGTATAGTGTTAATAAAACCTCCCTATTTTATGCTCTGCTCCCTTTGAAATAAAGACCGACATTTCATTTGCCTTCCTTATTATCCTTTGAACTTAGATGCCGGCTTTCTATGATTCATGTACGAGGACTCCCGGCAGTTATGATGCTGCCCCAATGAGCATATTTTTAAGGTGAGAGGAGAAAGTTTTAAAAAGAACATGTGGGCAACTTTTTTACATAGAGAGTGGTTTGTGTATGGAATGAACTGCCAGAGGAAATGATGGATGCAGGTACAGTTACAGCATTTAAAAGACATTTGGATAGGTACGCAAATGAAAAAGTTTGGAAGGATAATGGGCCAAACACAGGCAAGTGGGACTAGTGTGGTTTGAGAAAATGGTCGGCATGAACTAGTCGGACAAAGGGTCTGTTTCCATGGTGTATGACTCTATGACTCCATGAAGTGGATCCCCTTAGGGTGAGGGCAGCAATGGAGTATCCAAGCTCGGCAAGAGTCAGAATTGGACTCCAGAAGGGGAGGAAACAAAACTGGAAGAGGGAAAGAAATCCCGAATTATTCACTTCACTGCAGGTTACAGTTCACCGGGCTGATCACCCCTATCATTGTCAGTTCTTGGCTCCAATGTTTAATCAGTGACTGGGTTTCGTGCAGTGTTCATTGCTACCGTGAGTGTGCAGGGTATAATTACTGTAGCACAGGGTCTGGACTGCAGCCATCTCAGTGACTCGCTCGGACAGATTGTTTGGCTGTCATCTGAGAGCTCTGTTTCCTATCTCTGCAATTTTCCCGTGTCAAGTGATGCCAGATTGTAAAAGATTGGCCTTTGCATTATTCACAAGCCTGTGAGGTGGAGTGGAGTGAGGCTGCAACGTGAAGGGCTGGGGTGGGAGGCCCAGAAGCAAGTAACCGTTCATCAGTCAGAGTACCGTCATTTGCCGAATGTGTCTCCCTCTATACCTGACGATGTGAAATGCAGAGAGAAAAAAACGTTTTTGCATTTATAACAGTTTTTTTTACACAACCCTAGGGTGTCCCAAAGTAATACATTTGAAATGTAGCCACTGTTGCAAATGGTCCCATAAACGGCAAATTGACTGCCAGGAGAACAACTAGAACACCCGTGAAAAATAACCCAATGGACAAGGAGGAAGGCCCCAGAAGTCACTGTCAGTCACAGGCACCCCCCGTCAGTCACAGACACCCCCCCCGTCAGTCACAGGCTCTAGCCATTCACAAGGCCCAACCTAGCCACAGGGGCAAGTGGATACAGGGACAGGTAAGTTCATGTGGTCTCCTGCTGAAATTGTTCACTGGCAGAATGGATACATCTCCTTCTAGGTGTGCTTCTATTTTCATTTTCTCATGTGGCATAGGCATCGCTGGCTGCCCAGTATTTATTGTCCATCCCTAGTTGCCTTGAGAAGGTGGTGGTGCACTGCCGTCTTTAACCGCTGAAGTTCATGTGCTATAGGTTGCCCTTCGGGCGGGAATTCCACAATTTTGCTCCAGTGATACTGAAGAAATGGCGATATATTTCCAAGTCAAGGTGCTGAGTGGCTTGGAGGGGAACTTGCAGTTGGTGGTGTCCACTTGAATCTGCTGCCCTTGACCTTCTAGATGGAAGTAGTCATGGCTTTGGAAGGTGCTGTCTGAAGTTCTTGGGTGAATTTCTGTAGTGTATCTTGTAGATAGTACACACTGCTGCTACTCAGTGGAGGAGGGAATGGTTGCTTGTGGATGTTGTGCCAATCAAGTGTCTGGTTTGCCCTGGATGGTGTCACCGTTTTTGAGTGTTGTTGGAGCTATACCCATCCAGGTGGGCCATTTTGGACTGACATGAGGAGAAAATGTGTTCACCCAGAGAGTGGTGACCCTGTGGAATTCTCTGTAACGGAAAGTGGTTGAAGCCAAGATATTGAATCTTTTCAATAAGGGTTTCAATATAGTTCTTAGAGCTAAAGGGATCAAAAGGCATGGGGAGGGAGTGGGCACAGGGGACTGAGTTGGATGATCAGCCATGATTATATGGAATGGGGATGCAGGCTTGAAGGGCCAAATGGTCTCCTCCTGCTCCTGTTTCCTATGTTTCTGTATTTCTGAGGTTTTTATGCTTATGCTCTGAGCCACGATGTGGGAGACCTCACTCAGTGGGGCCCAGCTGACGCACTGAAGGAGGTTCAGCTCTGGGCCGGAGATTCACCGACTGTCCCCTTTCTCCCTGCAGGTTGGGCAGTTTGCCCGTCACACTGGGCCGCCTCCTAGGATGGTGCTGAGACCCGCCCCATGCACCCGCACGGTGTGATGGCCAGTCCGCAGGAGGTCCTCCCGTGGTCACCCGCCTCCCACCTCACCAAGCAGAGTCTGACGGAGGAGCTGGGGGCACCGGGGGGGGACCCCACGGTCCAGGCGGGGGGCCATGGCCTCTCGTACTCGCCGCCCGAGATCCTGGACAACCTGTGTGAGAGGACACCCCCGCAGGCCCAGACCGGCGCCAACTCCAACCAGGCACTCACCGTGACAGTGCTGACCAGCATCAGCGAGGACTCCCGCCACTACTTCCAGAACAGCATGCTGCAGCTCAGGGAGCAGGAGGACAGCAGCAGGAGCTCCCAGGGAGCCGAGGACAGGAACGGCAATGAAGGAGAAGGTGGTGACCACGACGGACCGGAGGAGATGAAGATCCATTACAACCGCTCGGGCTCAGGCCTGGGATCCGGGCCCGGGGGATTTCTTGAGGGGCTATTCGGCTGCCTGAGGCCTGTGTGGAACATCATTGGGAAGGCCTACTCCACAGACTATAAGCTGCAGCAACAAGGTATGTGACAGCCCTGCAGTCAAAAACGGTCTTATAAGTGGTTAGCCATGTGCCAGTTACCTCTGCTTCAATGCACACGGGTGAAAGCTTCATTTGTTGTACCCATCTACCAATTTATGTTCTGCCTAAGTTATTACAGTCCTGGAGGATAGTGGGCAGATTCTTGTGCCCTAATGGGTGGAGGAAGGGGTATTTAATCGGTGGTGGGGAGTGTCCAGCAGGGATCCTAGGCATCCTGTCCCCTCCAGTTTCCCCACTTCCACCCCCTCAATGAAGTTGAGAGCAGAGATCTTGCCCCAGTACCCCCCATGCCACCCCAGGGACCAGTCCACCATTGTAAAGGGATTAAGGATCTGTTATAATAAAGGGGTGAAGGGTCTGCTGCAGTGTAAAGGATTAATTCTGACAGTGTGAAATGCCAATGAGACAGGATGTGATGCTGTGTCGCATGATCCTGCTCTCTCTCGCAGCCTTGCAACACAATGAAGCCACAGTTGCACACTGCAACCCATCCTCCCTGCACCTCCACTGCCCACCCCCCACCCCGAACCCCGGTATCACCCCCATCTGGGATCCAGCAACAATCCTGGGCCTCAGGTGTGCTCTCTCAGGTGGGGTCTCTCAGGTGGGCATCATATTGCCCACATATGGTCCTATAGGACCATTGGAGTTGCTGCCCCCTGATTGCAATTGTTAAGTGAGAGTTTTGTCTTCAGGGACTCTTGATCACAGCTGTAGACCCTGCTGCTGTTGGCCTGTCAAGTGCCTGAGTGGAACAAGATGAGATGAGCCTTTCCAAAAAGAGGTGACCCAGGGTCTTAATGGTTCTTCAGCCAACATCCCTGTTGTCATCTGCTGGATTCCAACCACTGTGTACCAGTTAGTATTCTGTGCTATAAAGTATACATGATAGTATTGTGTACATTCTATTATTAGTATGAGGGACATGTTAGCATTGGACATAAATAGTATTGAGTTCCAGTTTATATTAATATTTTGTACAAATTATTACTGTGAAACAGTTAGCATTGTGTAGTAATAAAAAAAATGCTGTTAAGACTTAACAGGTCATTGTTAGAGCATGTGAAAATTGTGAACCTCTTTGTATTGTCTGCCATGATGTGGAGCTGCTGGTGTTGGACTGAGTTGGACAAGGTCTGAAGTCAGACAACATCAAGTTATAGTCCAACAGGTTTATTTGAAATCACAAGCTTTCAGAGATTTCACCTGACAAAGGGACAATGCTCCAAAAGCTTGCAATTTCAAATAAACCTGTTGGACTATAACCTGGTGTTGTCTGACTGTT